GTAACGAGATACCTATATCGTGATTCGCTTGAAGATTCTTAACAAGAATGATACTATATCTGTCGCGAAGGTCGAGATATTGTCGACGGAAGGACAGCACGTCAGCGAAGAGAAAGACGTCGAGTGTGTTCGTCGACTCGTTAGTGACGATGACTTTTCACTTTTCAAAGCCGAAGCCAAGGCTTAACCACATATTTCCCTCTCACGGTAGCTGAGTGTCGATTACATATGCCCTGGATATAAATAAAGCAGGCATAGAAACTCGTCTACGCTACAATTTCTTCTGTCAGACGAAATTTATTCCGCGTGCTCTTTGTAAATTGACAGTCATTGCTGTTTTTTAACAAAAGGTGATTATAAATATCCAAAGCGTTCGAATACCTGAACGATTTTATTTCTATACTATATATATATATATACGTATATATAATTTTTTTATTTTTCGACTCGTACCAAAGCGATCAAAGATTATATTTATTTAATATCTTTTTCATATTTGAAATTTATTCATTTAATTCTTTATAACATAATGTTACTCTTAACTTCTCACACACACTTACACATTTGAGTTCGATTTTACTTTATTGCCACAAACTTTGATAATTACTTACTATAATTCGTTACTACCGAATATTCCGAAGTTTCTCATGGTTCTTTTTTAAATTTAGGTATAAGTAATACATAGGTAATATATTACTATTATTTATAGTAATTACTTGCTAATAATAGTATAAGTAGTAGCATTATAATTTTTTTTTTCTATAGATACAAACAAAAATTAAATTATAGAGAATTAAGTAAAATATCGTTTTTGTAGGTATTGCATTAAAATAATAATTATCATTCTTTTATATTTACAGCTTATTACGAATTCGTAAGAAAGTCAAGGAACGTCCTTGATTATTTCAGTGTTAGTCGTCGTTGAAATGTGGCATCAAGTAATTAACACTTGCATTATTCACGGTAGGAGGAGACGTTAGAACCCCTATAATACTCTTCCTCTCGTTCCGGATAACCAAGCGAGAGACCCATTGACTTCGTTCATTGATTTTACGTCAATCTGCAAAGAGCACCCTTGCGGGCTCTCCGTGATGCGTTTACCATAAGCGATAAGGGCTGTACGGAGTTAGGTGTGAGGTAAGGGCTCGCTCGACACACCCTATGAAAGGGAAATAGAATAGAAATGACCCCCCATGGGAGTCGTATTAGGGACACATGGCTAGACGACAAAGCTTCGACAACCCTCTAGAATCTTAGGCATGTATACGATTACATAACGTTACGTGCTTGCCGCCCCTAGAACGTTGGGGTTGGTACGAGGGTTGGAATATACACGCGCACCACCCCTTAAGGGGGTCCAAACCTCCATTTTGTCCATGAACCATGATCGTTGGATCGACATTTTTTGTTCGAATGAATAACTATTTCTTTGGCAATATCCCGATTATTTTTATGGTATTTTTTTTTTTCTATAACATTTTTATTTTATTACAATTATCAATTATTATATCGTAAATTTTTTATTATGTTTATAACTGGTATATGCGGGTGTATACTTAAATTGCATATAATTTAGAGATAAAAAGCTTTATACAAATTATTTGCAAAAATTGATCTACTTTAAGCTAATTTTTGTATTTTTTCATTTATTCAATTATATCAAATGATCTTTATATATTCTATTTAGAGAGGGCTAAATAATATCTATATAGACGTCAATGGCAGGTTGTGTAAAATCTGTAGATTTGCTGATTCCTATCGAAATCCTCGGGACACCTGTTGTTTCACCTGACGAGGAAAGATAGTTTTGGTTTCGCGTTATCGCGGTCAGTTGAGTGAGTTTTCGTGTAAACTCGACGTATTGGCTCGAAAAGGTTTGAGTAACGTAACTCGGATGAGACAGAGGTTAATTTGGTACGAGTTGTAATCCCTCTCATCCGTCGGATGAAATTCCAGGACCCTCCGGGATGGACGAATGACAAAAGGCTTTGGATTATTGCCTCGCTTTATTCAGGATTATATCGAGTGCGAAGAAAAAGGAAAAAAAAAAAATAGAAGAAATTAATCGACACTTTTTGCTTTCATCATTAGGTAATAACTTTTAATGAAGTGGCTTTCTTACTTTTATCCGTCTTGAATATTTTAATTTCTATGCTCTATCAAAGCATAACATGAAAAAAATTCTTTATTCTTTCAATAGATAAATGCTCGCCATTGTAGAATTGATATGTTAAATTAATCACGCAAATATAATATATGTATCAAGATAACTGGAAGAAGGAACTTTACAAATGAACATTTATTTTCTGTGGTAGTTTAATCAACGTGGGGGTAGACGCTATCTCGTGGTTCTCCATTTGCTTCGATCGGAATGCGAAGACGTGCATGGGATTGTGATGTTACCATTATTCGCCTCGATAACGTTTACGATACGCATATAGCCTAGCATATATCGTATAGGTTGGGAGGGGTCGGACCAGAGCGTGCCGGCAGCTCGTCGTTAATATAATGGCGAAAATGGCAAAACGGGTCGACATCACGTAGAGGTAATTCAGCACGCGTACGCTCGTCTATCAAATTGATTTCCACACCTAGTGTCCTTACAAGGGCGTTTATTTCGTCACGTTCACCGAACGATAGATTGTGTGTCATCGTTTATGGCGAAATACGATTGACGAAATGTTGTTGTTTTTTTTTTTTTTTTTTTTTTTTTCTTTCAGCTCTTTACTTTTATACACCTACATATGCATAAAACATACATATATACATACATACATATATGTATGTACACATAAATATGTGTGAAATTTATAAAGGATCGAATTTGTATATGTTAAAAAGATAAATAACTAAATTTATGTATTGATACATTCGTGAAAATTTCGATCTGATGGAAATAGTGAAAACAGTAATGACGAAAATTCAGGCAGGACGTGAGCTAACACTTTTGAAATATTTGAAAATGAAGCTGAAAACGATGAACTCATAACCGTCACTCTGTTCCGTCGCCCAAGCCTTTTGGAGTCTCCCTAATTGACCCACGCCAGTAGCCAATAGGATTTGAAATTATAGGTCTCGAGGAAAAAAGACGATTATCAGTCAAATAGAGAGAATACAAACAAACATTAACGACCAGAACTTTGACGTTAATCGGGATGGAAAAGGAAAGCAGTTAAAAGGAATTCTTCTAGCCAGACTGAACTCGTCACGCATTTGATTAAAATTATAGGTAAGTAAGTATGTTGTTGTTAAAAATAAAAAATTAATAAATATATATTATATATCTATATATCATTTTTTTGTAAGTTCTTCAATTTTATATTTGTAATTATTACATACAATTAATTATACTTTATCAGATTGATTACTATAGTAACGTGAGGAATATTATATCAGTAATTGTTTCACATACACACACACACACACATACATACACACAATATCTTCCTATATTTCATTTCTCTCATATATATATTTACATTAAAATATTCATACAATCATATTACATAATATACATTTATTCAGTTATAGTATCTATATATATATATTATACTAAGCGCTCTAATATCTAGACAGGAAAGTAAGATTTTTAAAATGGAATGCATTCCACGACATCAGCTTTATCGTACGTGCTGTCTTGGTCGTTTACAGGGAAATGACGTGGATGGAAATGAATAATGTATGGAAGAGCATATGTAAGCGTAGATAAGAATCTTATCAAAAGAATCGATCAAAGACGTTCTGTGAGGTCACGCTCGAGTGGTGCCGTCTAATTTATTGAGTGCAACGAAACGGTGATATGACGAAGGCTACCGTTAAGATTGGACAATAATAATGATAACAGAATATATATATATATATATATATATATATATATATATAATTATAATAAGAAAAAAGACAATAATAATAATGAAATAATATTAAAAATGATAATTAAAAACGATGATGATAATGATAATAAAAAAAATAACAATAATGATAATAATAATAATAATAATAACCATAATAATAATAATAATAATAATAATAATAATAATAATAATAATAATAATAATAATAATAATAATAATAATAATAATAATAATAATAATAATAGAGAAGGAGAGAAGAAGAAGAGAGAAAGAGCGAGAGGACGCTTCTAGCGATTTGAATCCGGCGTGTGGCATTTCAAAGGCCTAGTTAGCATTCGGTGTCACGTAGAGCCCACGGTTTAATACATCAAAAACGCCGGATTCTGTCGCCACCGCTCTCCGTCGTTCCTCCCGACTGTTCCAACACCCCCTAGAGGGTTCACCGGTATTCATTTGTTCAGCCTTGCAACCCTCTCGAGAACTGTGCGTGTCTTTTGTTTTGACCGACGCGAGTTCTGATTGGACCGTTCGTCGAGTTCCGCCGGCCATGGCAGCCTTTTCCTGGGCTAGGGATATCGGGCCAATAGCCTCCTCGAGGGCGTTCCTGGGCGGAGATTCAAATACGTCCTGCATCTGTCGCGGTGCTGTTGTCGTTGTTATTATTATTATTATTATTATTATTATTATTATTATTATTATTATTATCATCATCTGTAGCGGCTGAATGTGCACGTATATCTGAATATCCGTCTAACACTCGCAATGTTGGTAAGAGCAGCTTTTCCGACCGGTTTCAAGCTTCTTACACGAGATGGCGTTGATAGTACGATTTTTTAATCAATTACAGATACGATATATATATATTATATATACAGTATATATATATATATGTATATATATAATTATCACTTTGATGAACGATCATTTTAATATATATATATATATATTCTTCATAATCATATTACAATAATTTTCTCTTCTTAATATTTTCATTATCAATTTCTTAATCAATGTTTATAATAGACGTTCGACCTTATTCGATCTTAATTAAGATCCAATATAACTTTCGATTATCGATCGATACTTCGATCATAATATTACTACGTTCATAACCTGAGCTCTTTGACGTAGGAACAATTTTGTAAATGAAAGTCGTGAAAATAGTATTGACCTTTGTGAATTATCGAGAATGTATTTAAGTTAATTCGAATAGGAATAACGTGTGTCAGGACTTTTAGAATTGACATTATTTCACGATTTAATATTTCAATGATTCCCTTGTTCGTTAGTAATTTTCTGTTAGTTTAAATGTCGCAAAAGAAATCAGGTTAAGTATCCATGTACATACGTAATTTGGGGATACGTTTTGCCTTTATTAGTGCTCATTTGAATGTAACTTGTTAATTTATTGCAAGGAAGTTTGAAATGGAATGAAACAGTCGGGGAGATCTTTTTCAAAGAGTGAAAAGAGGGGAAAAAGAGAGAGAAAGCTTCATACGTACCTGCCATCAGTTACTGTAAGTACGTAGATGCTGTTATTTGAATTTTTACACACACACACACACATACATATATATATATATATATATACAGTCCGCTATATGTTAATTATATCAAATAATGTACTATATATATTGAACGGTATATATAATATATACATTGCAAGTATATGTATAGGACTTGCATATATCTATGATATATATATATATATATATATATATATATATATATGTATATATACATATATGTATAATCGTTGATTACATTGAACGAAGATGAAGAGAATCAAAAGAAGGGATATATAAAATGCAGCCGACGAACTTTACTATAACTCATCCTGGCAAAGGTCAGAGGTTTTAATATCCTCCGTTGGACACCCACTTGGCAGCGATAATTCGAATTAATAAGCGCAAATTGTCGGGTCTCGGCCAATATATATATATATATCGTGTATTCTTATTCGCGTGCCGATTCCGGTCTTTAGTTTCCCATAGCATGCCAAGGCATGTTACCATGATAATAACTAGCGACATCTATCTTTGCCTTTTACCGCTTATGTACTAAAAGAGCCGTATAGAAATGTCGGTTACTTGCGTAATATTTAAGCAAGATAAAATTATTTTTATTTAGGATTCCCTTTAATCTTTATTTCAACCCTTTGTATGTAATTATTCTTCTTCTTCTTCTTCTTTTTCTTCTTTTTCTTCTTCTTCTTCTTCTTCTTCTCCTTCTTATTTTTGTTTTCTTGTTTCTTTGTACCAGGACGACGAAAATCGACTTATTCGGCGAAAGAAAAAATTCTCTTTATCCTAGCGATCCTATCGTGTATGCTTGCATTATTAATTCTCCCGCGTAGAGATAAGGATTTTCATGTAAAAACGGGGCGCGATTCGTCGCGCTAATGCGGTCAGTGCCGAACGTCCGAGGTGCTTTTTCATAGGACGAAAAGAGTGAGAAAAAATGAGAGTGAGAGAAAAAGAGAAAGAGAGAGAGAGAGAGAGAGAGAGAGAGAATGAAAGGAAGAGGAAAAAAGAAAGAAGAAAAGGCAGGCGGTGGTGGACTCTCTATGGTTCGTCTATCCACACAAGGGGCGAACGCGCAAATGGCGCTCATTTGTACTGATAGGGATCGTTGGTCATCTTGCAAAAAGCGCGCGGCTTAACGACCGAGATGTGCCTATGCGATATCTCGTCACAGATCCGTCAGTGATATCGAGCCTTGGCTCCAACAACGATCGGCCTGCTGGAATTAAAAATGTATTACGAGAAGTGTCCTTCTTCTTTTTCTCTTTTTCATTTTTCTTTTGTCCTTTTTATTCTTCTTTCTTTCTTTCATTCTTCTTCTTTTTCTTCTTCTTTTTCTTCTCCTTCTTTTTCTATCTTTAATCTTTCAAATTGAAGCCTACGAATTTTTTTTCTTCTTTTTTTTTCTTTTTTTTATGAAATCTGTGATAGCGTTTGCCCGATCATAGGAGTTGTTCATAGACGATATACATATAGAGAGGTAAAATATTTTTGTAGCGGGTCAGAAAAATTGGACGGTTAAAATCAGTGCATAGTGACGGGTATGGTGACGAGGAGAGAACGGGGATGAAGAGGTATAGGGGTGGAGGTTGTGGTATAGGTAGAGGTAGTAGAAGTGGTGGAGGCGGAGGCAGAGGCGGAGGTGGAGGAGGATGAGGATGAGGATGAGGATGAGGTAGGAGGTAGGGGGCAACATCGACGGTAATCCACTCGATTTCGAGTGGCGCAACTTCGAGTCGCGAACAATTTTTGTTGACTGCGGGCTCGTACACCACGCGAGACTAGGGTTTTTTTCGCGTTGGATACACAAGTAAAGAGAACACACTCGTTCGTATTCGCTCGCTCGTTCGCTTGCTAGCTAGGCTACTGCCGTCGGTCCTGTTGTTGCCATTGGAGAGATGCCAATTTTAAAACTGGATTTTTTAAAGCGTACCCACGCGAATTCGACGGAGTTTGCTTATTTGTTTTGGAGAGAAACTGTTCGAACGAAGATGACAAATAAGATGAGAAAGAAAGAGAGAGAGAGAGAAAGAAAGAGAGAGAGAGAAAGAGAGAGAGAGAGAGAGAGAGAGAGAGAGAGAGAGAAAGAGAGATAGGAATAATTTTAAAACAAAGAAAACAATGAAAAAAGAAAGAAAGAGAGAAAGAAAATAAAAAACGTTGGCAACGAGGAATAATTAAAATTGTGCTCTTTCGCAAATATCACAGCGTGTAACGATCACGTGACTTTCGTCATACTTATCGGCCGATTTATCTCTTCAACGGACTTTTAGATGAACGCACGAGTTGCAAAGGTGCATAATGCAACGTGCTCTATGTTTACCACTCTGTGGTGCCGGTTTACGATTTCTCGCGTAAATATGCTTCACGATCATTCTTACATCGTAGGTTTATTAACAAATTTTATCGTGACTTTGATGATTTCAAATGTACCAAAGAACTCAAAGATATTTCACATTAATTTTTTTCTGTCTCTCACTCTCTCTCCTTCTCCAAATATCTTCTTTCTTCCTTTCTTTTTCTTTTTTACTTATTATTTTTATTAATTTTTTTTTTTTTTTTTTTTTTTAAATTATTTTCTTCGTTAGTTGGGGTCTTAACGCGACTACAGAGGGAATTAGAAATGGTCGAGAGTTCTTATCGTTCAGGTTGAGCTTAATTAATACCCAGCAGCACGTCGGAAATACATACGATGCATTGGCCTTGCTAATATTCGAACGTTATCACGAATCTCTTGGGTCACGCTTTGTTCGTTATCGTGTGTGAGTTACTCGAAGATGATGACTATGACGTTGTCGAAAGAAAAAAGTAAAAAAAAAAAAAAAAGAAAAAGAAAAAGAAAAAGAAAAAGAAAAAGAAATAAAAAAAAATTGAAAAAAGAAGAAGAAAGCGAAACGTTTCTCGACATAACAGAATGTTAGAGGAGGAGGAGAAGGAGGAGGAGGAGGAGTAAGAAGAAGAAGAAGTAGAAGAAGAAGAAGAAGAAAGAGTTGAGAAATGTCAGCCGGCAAATTGGAAGTAGTTGGGCAGACTACGGCAGCCCCGACGTCAAATAAACATGCCAGGACGAGCAATTTCGAATATTAGAAGGTCCCGCAGGGTAGGTGCATGCTGCGTCAGGACGCGTGAGCTACGGTGATGACGTTCGACCGCAGGACGCATCAGGGACTCACTTGCATGGCCGATGCAATTGCAAGTGCCGACCGCAAAGCAAATCAGCACTGCCTGCCTGCCTCGGGAATTAAGGATTCTCTCTTCGTCTATTTCTCTCTCTCTCTCTCTTTCTCTCTTTCTCTCTCTATCTCTCTATCTCTATCTCTTTTGCACTTTTAACACGCGAGATATTTTCGAAAAGAACAGGAGAACGCATTTTCACAGAGAACAGAACAATATTTACGACTTCGATGGCCATTCGTTAACTTGTGGTCACAATTATGCTTTAGTGTACATATGTAAAGATCGATAAATGTTAACATTTATACGTTACGTTTATAACTTGAAAGATTCCGATAAATTTTTATAACTTCTACTCGTTTAAATGGGATAATTTTAGAATGAGCGAACGTGAGAGAGAGAGAGAGAGTGAGTGAGAGAGAGAGAGAGAGTGAGAGAGAGAGAGAGAAACGATATATTTAAATATACGAGCGTGGTAGAGTGTTTTATTGTGCTGTGACTTATCAATGAGGGCTTCAATTGACGAGCGAATGAATCATTTATTCCTCGGCCATTTCGATTCGTCGAATTCTGTCTACGCGTTACGTTGCCATCCTAATATGACTTGAAGGAGAAAAATATATATATATACATATATATATATATATTATATATGTTTGTATATATATATATATATGTATATGTATATGTATATAGATCGAGGTCAATCATAAATAAATTCGTTAGCATGCGTATCATATTGATGATGCATATCGTATTAAATGCATGAAATAAAAAAGTGATAAAGAGATAACGTAGTCACATTTCTTTCTCTTTTTTCTTCATTTGTTCTTTTCTTTTTGTCTCCTTTCGAAATCGTCGTGACAATTTTAAACCTTATAATTATTAAGAGAGCAAGGGGAGAAGTATTCGTAGAAAGGCGATCAACGAAACAAAGCACTCGTCTTTCGGGGATAATTTCGAGCTAAAGGGAAAAAGGCAAGAATCTTAGTTAGGGTGGACCTTATTTAAATAATCTTTCAGACTCGACTCTCAGTCGAGGGTAGGAGGGTGCACACACCCTGTAATCTCGGTCACGTGCAGGAGCAATAGCAATGGAGGGGAAAAATGAGAAGAACGATCGTCGTTTTCAACATAGTAAAGTCTTCATGCGTTCCGTCGCGTCTCCCTCCCTCTCTCTCTCTCTCTCTGTCTCTCTTTCTCTCTCTTTCTCTCTCTCTCTCGCGTCTATCCGATAAGTATCTAATAGGAATGTACTACGAGCTTGTAATAACGTTACACAATGGCTTTGTGTATCACGTTGCTGTACGCTCTTGTAAAAAATTCATCATCTCATCTTTATCCGAGTTGCATCTCTGATCGAGCTTCTTGCGATCGAAGTGTAGATAACTTCTTTTCTCTATTTTCTTTTTTTATTTTTTTTTTTTTTGGAATAATAACAAGAGGGGAATAGACGATGGTGGTTTAGTTAGAAGATCTATGTAATGTCTAAGACATCGTTGCAAATCTGTATGCATTTATTCCTATATCTTCGATCTTTATAAATGTGTGAATAAAAAAAAAGATAGATAGATAGATAGAAAGAGAGAGAGAGAGAGAGAGAGAGAGTGGGAAAGAGAGAGAAAGATCGGGAGTATAGAATCGTGAAAAGATTTATAGGATCAATTTCGTGAGATCTAGCTGGAAGGTAGCGACGCCATTTGGAAAGAAAATTCTTGAGGAAGGGGTTGTCGCCCTCGAGAGAGTAAGAGCAAGAAATAGAGAGAGAGAGAGAGAGAGAGAGAAAGAGAAGGAGAAGGGGAGAGAGAGAGGAGAAGGAG